ATTTTGGGGGCTCCCATAATAAGGAGATTAGTATATTAGGGTCTATGTTGGTGTCTCCATCTCTATGGAAGCTACCATACACTGTTTGTTATATGTGGATACGTACATACCTACCACTGCCTTTCCGTGGGGGGGGGAAAGGCCGGCGGTTGAGTTGCTGGATGTAAAGCCAAGTATTTGAAGTGCTTTGTTCTCTTGGGGTGTGGCCTGCGAACTTTGCAGCCCCCTGTATGCCTTGAAGCCTCAATTCCAACACCTTCAATGCGGTATACCAAACCCGAAGCATGGACCCCTAAACCCCACACCCTAAATCCTAAACCCTGAACCCAGGCATTGGGTGTCGGACTTGCACTTAGACAAGTTCAAAGATCCTTGGGCGGTGCATCTGGGCTTTTTTGGCGGCAGTTGTCAGTAGAGAGACAGGGAGACGCAGTCGGAGTGTTTGAAGCGCTACGGTCCCCATTCCCCGATAGCAAGCAGCCTGTTTGGGAACAACACTTGCGTATCATGAGGCCTGAGGCTTTATCCACTCTCTGCGTTAGAAAGGAGATGGAACCTACGCTTTAGGGGGTTACGGCCGTGCCGTGCTTTATGTGCTGGAATATGTATGAAGGATGTCCACGGTACTCAAGGAAGGTGTTATGTAAGTCGGGTTCTTGGATCTCAAGAGTCATGGCCGAACTCGGTCCTAAAGGCTTTTTATGCTAGGCAGCGGAAAGCCGAGTCATAACCAGGCAACACCGCATAGCCTCAGACAAGTATTTGGTACTTTCAATAGCACTAGTTTGTCATATTACCCCCTCCTTTTAAGGACCTTACTATTAGGATCCCTACAATATTCCCCTTTAGTGGAGGGGGTTTCTTCATCACGGTCTACATTACCTATTTTACGTGATTCCTTTCGTGGTAGAGTTCCTAGGCCCGGTCTGGGGCAGAGTGGTGGTAATATGGACGGCTGACCAATTTTGAATCTCATGGTCCGTGATTCCTTACATGTTTAGGGTGTAGGGTACCTCAATAGACCTCAGAAGGATATGGGTGATTAATTTGGGCTTCTACCAAACCCCAGAAGACTCTACTTAACACCCAATGTCTGCTTCAGTTTCATTTTTCTCGTCCAGCTCATTCTTCACTATCCCATCCCTACACCCTTTGTACCTTCCATATGACCCCTAACAACCCCGTGTAGAAACCGTGGAACACCTTTAGCAGTAGGGGCTGTTGGAGCATTGCATCCTCAGCGCCCGCAATTTGGTGCAACCCTGGCATTCCCATTTTCGCTGTAGGGTTGAGGGTTAAGACCCTAGGGATCAAGGGCGGGAATCAGAGGACTATGAGATGCCGATTAAGGATTTGTGGGGGTTGTTTGGAGGAACTTCCACATTCAGTTTTGTATGGCCCCCCCCCCTAGCTTGACAAACGGCAAGCTTCACCAGTGATCCGCTCCATAAGAGCCATAGTCTAAACTCTTTAAAGTGGGGTTATATAGGGGAGTAGTCTATGGCTTCTTCAGAAAATATTAGTAGGAGTGTAGACTTAGACTATAACTCATACGAGTCTGTATGAATGTGATCCGCGTGTGAACCATGATCTTTCCTGATTCAGGTAGCCTGTTCTATCCATTTGAGAAAACCTCCATTCTCACATAACGTGCTCTCAGCCCTAAACCCTGACCCCTAACCCTAAACTACAGCTACGTCCTGCTACCCACAAAACTGAAAGTACAGATTTTTTGTACATTTACATACGTATGTATATGTGTATATGCTTGTGCATATATGTAGAGCCCCACAACCTCCTGACCAGCGGCCAGGTATGGGCTTGGGCTGGCGGCGCTTTCTCGACCATGTGGCTCGGTAGACATGTAGAGGGTTTAGGGTTTAGGGTTTAGGGCCCCATGTCAATCTTAGGGATCCTTGGGGCGACCTTTCGAGAGGTCTCAGGGAGTCCTTCCCCATGGGTCGTCCTGACATGGGGCCGTAGTGTACAGCTTGGATACAGCGCGGTTTAGGGTTTAGGGTCTTGGGCTCAGGGTACCCCAACAGTTGAATAGTAGTTATGTTACAGCTACCTCTGTTCTGAATGTACCACAAAAACAGAACAAGCATATCAGCAAAGTCAGAAGAGCGTCCAAGTACCGCAGCTGTATTACGAAACCCACAACTTTTTGCGATGAGGCGTTGTGAGCTCCTCGTAAGGCAGGCCTTGTACAGCACGCCAGTGCCGTCGCATCCGTAAGACCTCGTTTCTGTAATCATGTGCATCACACTGTTGGTTTTGTTTGCTGGAAGGCATTCTGCGTGTTCTTCCGGTTGCAAATTGAATTCATGTTTGGGGTCGCGCTTTTTCACCCGCACCGAAACCCAATCCCAAAGTCCTGACTAAGCCAGAATACAAAACGCATACCAAAAGCCGATAAGCAACAGACCCTCAATCTTTCTAACCCTTTCCCTAGTACTAAACGACACCCCACCCCAAGATCAAATAATCCAGGGTCCCAACAATTACTTAATATTAGGGGGGGATATTTATTGAACACATCGGATGGGACTCCGTCTAAAAGCACTCTTAAAGCCCTTTCAAACTCCTTTCAACTGATGTCTAACGAGACACGAATGGAAATCCACTTAACCTTAATTGAAACCGAGTTAAAACCTAACTAAAAACCACTGATATCGAATTAGCACCCAAGTAAGTCCTTTGAAATCGAATTTTAATCGTGAAAATCCAATCAAAATTCAATCGAAAATCATTTAAATCGAAGGAACATCCGGGAAAAAATGAAATCAAATTGAAATCTAGCTAAGACCTTGGAGCAAAACCCATGGAAGTCAAATTTTCGTCCAATGAAAAGCGGCTGAATCCAAACTAAAACCAATATGAAAATCAACCAAAACGTAGGATATCCAGCGGATCCCTAATCCGGTTGTATTTGTTATTATACCGCCTTATGACCTCAAAACCCCCTACTTCATGGTTGGGCGGCCCCTTTTTGAAAGTAGTCTTCCCCTTTTAAACGTAGCCTTCATGATCTTCAGGTTCCTGAATCTCTTGTGTAATAATGGGGGGGTTAGATTGTGGAGACGCTTGAAGAATCATCAGTATTATCCCCCTACATAGCTCGGAAGTAGCAATAAGATGCCACCCCAAACCTCTTTTAATTACTTTTCCTCTAGGCTACAACCCCTTTGAAACCTTGTATATCCCCATCTAACGATATATGCAACCCTAACCCCTCAGCCCGCCCCTCAGCCCTAAGCCCTAAATTCGAAGCCCTGGACTCTTCGCCATAAACTCTAAGCCCTAAACCCGAAGCCCTATTTCCTATGAATCCCTCAACAATTTTTAGGTGAAAGACCCCCTGTCTACGAGTCACCTGGGTATATCGGCGACAAGATCTTGCTGGCGGCCTGTCAGTTATCTGGACTCTACCAGAGGGCGATGGGGGCTTGGGGTCGAGGGCTTAGGGGTTAGGGCTGTGTGTTCAGGGTTTCAGGAGTCAGGTCCTAACTTTCGCAGCTCCCAAAAAGGGGCTCCTAATTCTTGACACCCCTACCTACTTCTTGGACTTTCACAGGAGCGCTTGCGTTACGCATACCCTCTCAAAGCGGGCTGGGAACACGACCCCAGGGATATTAGTGCCCATTGGGGATATATTAGGGTTATATTGGGGCTATATTGGGATAATGGAAAATAAGATAGAAACTACTATATTTAGGGCTACATGTAGGTATAGTTTTTGCAGGTGGAGACCCCGTCTTGGGATTCCGTGAATGCTTATTTTGTGGGAAGCGTAAGGGCGTTCACGAAGGGGCAGCTAGGGTCCTGTGTAATTTCTGTATCTCTGGGAGTCTGACGGTACCCCCTCCTGAGAAAGCCCCACTTTGTGGATTTCTTGAAACAGGCCGACGCCTAAAATGCAATATCGCTTGTTGCAGGAACCCACGGAAAGGACCGCTCATGTATGGAAACCCCACATGGCGCCCAAGAACCATGAACTAGAGCAGGGTAAGCCCAACGCATCGCCCCCTGGTAAACCTGAGCCTTAATGCACACTCCCATCGCAAAGCGTGAAAAAACCAAAAGGGGTTCGAAGCATACTTTTCAAAGGAACAACAAGCAGTCACCAGGTGGGTAGAGAAGCCGCCATGTCCTTCTTCAAGCTTTATGACCTGGTGAACTGTGCCTTGGCAGCAACAGCTCCTGGGAAGCCCTCCAAGATGGGGATCAGGATAACTAGATGCCTCACTTAACCTGATAGCATCAATTTCATCTAACTGTCGGAACTTTCCAGCCTCCTCCGTGGGACTTCTGTGATTTTGGCGGCGGAGCCAGGGCAAAGGAGTCTACGGACTCTTAAGTCCTATGCTGGAGGGAGCGCGGCACGTAGGATCCCATGATATTATATTTCCTGGGGTATACAGTGTACAGACTGGTAGAAAATGCTCTATCCACCATGCTTTTTTGGGGCGGATGGCCGAAACACGCATTTGTTGAGACAGGCTCATCAACGGGGATCTAGGACATCCATGAGATCCTCAGACGAAACCTCCTGAAAATGGTGCGTAAGATTTGCCCTTCCGTGAGCCAATGGATTCGGAGCACGGCAGCCTGGATTGGTTCACTTCAGCGTTCTGAGGGGGTCCAAGTAGCCATGTAGCCAACACTGGACCCTTTGGGGTAGGATTTATTGCTTGGAGTTTTTCTGGGTTGCTGTTAAGGACTTACAAATCAAGCTACTATGTTGTGGAAACTTTATTAACTAATATATATATATGCCCGCTATGGAAACTTAATCCCTGAACGGTAAACCCTATATACTCCTTATGGCAACTTCATCCCTAAAACCTAAACCCTACATATCCCTTATGGCAACTTAATCCCTAAACCCTACACTTTAAAACCCATAATGAACCTCCTATGGTAACTTAGTTTAAGTTCCTCAACAGCAACCCTAAACCATCAACCCTTGTTTCCATGTAATTGTCCATTTTCTTTTCCATTTGATGTTCCATTATTTGGGGGGAATGTCACTATGCTACCCCTGATTTAAGTTCCTCAACAGCAATACTAAACCATAAACCTATATACCCTAGATACCCAAACCCTAAACCCTAAACCCTAAACCCTCCTCAACAGCAACCCAGTCTTATGGCTGAGGCGGAACAGCGAGTTCCAAGCTGGACCGCGTGGAGCATCCGGAGCCTGGGGTAGACTTCCCCTAAGGGTCCGAGGACACAAATAACAGGATTTTAGGGCGCAAATAGTAGAATATCCCCAATAGTAGGGCGTTAGGGCCCAAACACCAGTAATGTTATATAGTATTTGGGCCCTAGAACCGTATTATTTGGGCCCTTAGACCGTTAGGGTTCAACATGAAACTACTGGGCCCAGATGGTTACCAATGGCAATCATATAGGCCTTAATATTATAGTATTTAGGCCCTGAAACCCTATTATTTGGGGTTGGAGTCGGCAATCATGTAGGCCCCTGTATTATGGGATTTCAAACAGGGTATGTGCATATCATATACGCATATAATTTCTGAAGTCATTAGGATTAATTAGAGAGGAGGAATTATAGAGAATCCGGAGCTTGGAGTAAACTTTGACATGTTGACAGTGTTACAGGCATTGGGGATGGGGTTTAGGATATGAGGACCCTAGCATCGGGGATTTCCTAATGGAAAATAAAGTGGAAGCTACAATTTAGGGTTTAGGGTTCAGGGATATTACCCAAGATAATGGAGAATCAAATGAAACAGAGAAGGAACATGTAACGCAACTAGGGTTAGACAGGGGCTTGTAGGGTCAATTGAGTAGTTTTGAAAGTTCTGAGCTTCAAAGGGATCCCGTGATCCATAATTTTATCAGTTGATTAGGTCGTGAAAAGTCTCCTGTTCCAAAAACATGTAACTCAGTTGTCCTTCCGGAAACCTGAGATTGAAACATCATGGGTAAACGAACCCCGAAACTACATGATCCAGCTGTACTGAAAGATTCGACATTTGAACCATCTCTGCACAAAATTGCGAACATATGAAACTGTTTCTATACGGCCCTGAAATTACATTCCCCTATTGATCCTGGAAACTGACGTGTGTGCATGTATGTGCGTAACTTTCTATATATATATATATAGATATGTATGCACGTGCATGTTTGTCTCTGTGTGTGTGTCGTCCTGCGCTGTGCGTTCCCAGCCCCGTCCGGCTCCAAGTTTGCGGTAGATACTTTTTGCCTGCCCCGAAGTACCTTCTACCTTCGGAAATAGTGTATAATAATACAGCACGGTCATGAAGGTTTTTCAGTACTAAGACTAAGATGTCTTATCTGATATAGGTATGTATTCACGTTGGAAGCTTCTGGGATCTCGCTTGTGTAAATAGCTCCTATACCTCCTGCCAAGACCACCGAATCCCTAGAGTCATCCCCAACAATTCAGCGGCCATGGCAAAGGCGCTTCAACAACTGGGGTTCTACAGTGGCCTAGAGGTTTTCATGGCCAGGTAGAGAAAAAAGCTTAAGGCATAGTCTGGTAGTGTCCTTTAGTTTCTTATAAGTACTATTGCAGTTAGCACTAGAGCCTTGTGATATACCCACAAACCCTAAAGCCTAAACCTAGTAAGTAGCATTACAGTGGGCACTTTAGCACCAGTGCGTCGTAATTTACCTACCTGCGGTGGGTGGAGGAAATCTTGCACCACTTGGACCCCAAAATAGTGTACCTCCCATGGTACAAGGTATGTAGGGCGGTGCAAGATTTTCTGCATCCACAGCCCTTGTGCAAGTATACACATGTTACCTACTTTGGCCCCAAAGTCTTAAAATATTACCTGCGTTGGGCTATTTGGACCCCCAGGCCCTAAACCCTACACCCCAAAGCCTAAACCGTAAACTCTAAACTCTAAACCCTAAACCCTAAATCCTACCTACATTGGGCTATTTGGATCCCTAGGGCAGTAGTGAGGAGCACTTCATCTACACGGCCACGGAAGTGCTGGGTTTGAAGCTGCGCGGTCGTGTTGATTGGGGTAATGTGTGTAGGATTTAGAGTTTAGGGTGTAGAGTTCAGGGATTCGGGGTTAGAGATAAGGGTTTAGGGATTAGGGTTTAGGGTTAAGTGTTTAGGGTTTAAGGCTTAGGGATTAGGGTTCAGGGTGTAGGGTTTAGGGTGTAGGGTTTGGGGTTTGGGGTCCAGGGCTTAGGGTTTAGGATTCTGGGTTTAGGGATTTGGGTGTAGGGTTAAGTGTGTAGGGTTTGCCCTAGAAGGTCCGATGGATCTGTGTACTGCATACTCGGGCCCCAACAGGGTTCCTAAGATGCATTCTTTGGGCTTAATTGAGTGCACGGACCCTGAACCCTGAACTTGAAGCCCTAAACCCTAAACCCTACACAATGTACAAACTTTGCGGGCACTTGGAGCGTCATGGTTAAGGGATTTTGGGCTCCAGTGCGGCTGAAGGATTCTGGGGCTGTTTTGGAGGTCCGCCTTGTTTGGAGCCTGGGGAGATTCGGGCCGCCTTACTAGTGCAATATGAGCTATAGTCTAAGTAACAGTACGTATTATGTCTGCATGTACTTTCATGCACAGCGTGTACCATCATATCTGTACGTGCATACATACATATAGATATAGATATATAGATAGATAGATAGATATATACATATATACATATATATATATAAACCTCAAACCCCCAAAGTGCATATGCATTTTGGGACTCTTTGGGCAGCGCTCAAGGTTCCGGCAGGTGCCATTCCGCGATCTTCCTGCTATGATCGCGCGGCACATGAACATCTACAGAGCTTTCGGTGCTCCCAGAGTTGCTTGCTGGCGGTTAGTACAAAACGAAGGAAAGCCAACCGTAAATAGTACCTTCGATTTTCCTTAGGGTTTAGGCTTTGGGGTTTAGGGCTTAGGGTTTATTAAGGTTAGGGTATATTTCCCCACCTTGCCGCATGCATGACCCTAGTTTCCATTTCATGTTCATGTTCTTTTCAATTTGGTTCTTTATGATGGTAGCTTCCAAATTCTCCTGCATTCCCACATGTATTCCTATACCACCCTTACATAACCCTAGTTTCCATCTCATGTTCCACGTTCTTCTTCTCCATTTCACCCATCTTAGTAGTTTCCATACTCTTCTCCATTCCCTAACCCCTAAACCGTAAATAGTGGCTTCCATGTTCTTTTCCATTCCCCCGCTTCTTAGTAACACCCGCTAACCCTAAGGGTCCAGGTGCCCAACAAAGACATACTCACCCAAAACCTGTACTATAACTACTATTACCCAACACCCAAGTACCTAGTCATTGGGTACTTGGACCCTTTGGGTAAGGCAAGCTTCTGCTTGAAGTATGACCCGCCGCTGCTGGAGAAGCTGGGTTGCACTCAGATTCGAGCTTTGGAGAGTCGAACAAGAAAATGGAAAATGAAATCGGGAATGGCTTAGGGTGTTAGGGTTTAGGGTTGGGATTATATACTGGTTTGTTGGGATTGGGATGTTGGAAGTATGGGAATTAACCTGAATATTCTTTGGGGAACTAATTTAGGGTTCCTGCAGACCTATAAAGAAGATGTGGGGAACTTATGTTCCATGAACTTCGATGATAACCTGGGTGGGAGCAGGACCCTTGACCAAGAAACGCATATGGAAATAAGAACCCTAACCCAAAACACCCTAAACCCCCCATGGAGTTCGGGGGTGCAGGGTTCCAGTATTAGGCACATTATGCAAGACATGCTGGATGAGCCCAATGGGATCAAAGGTTAGCATGACATGGTCCAGTATGGCCAAGCACGCCGCCCACGTTTCACAGACGTAAGAAGTGGCAGAAGTCATTCTGGAGCTTAGAAAAACACAGCCCTAAACCTAAACCCCCTAAACCCTAAACCCTGGACCCTCTATAAACCCATTCTAGTACTTTCCATTTTCTTTTCCATTATCCCTATATAACCTCAATATATCCCTACAAATCCTGGACGGGGAAGCTTGACTCGCTCCACTCCCTGCATATGCCCAAGGTCTTTGAGGGGTTTAGGGTTTAAGGTTTAGGGTTTAGGGTTGCCCCTTTGTCGCAAGACCCCTCATGTCGAAGATTGTGATGAGGGTTTAGGGATTAGGTTTTAGGATTGGAATACTTGAACGGTCATGGGGACTATACGTAGGGGTTATATAGGGATAATGGGAAAGAAAATGGAAACTCCTATTTAGGGTTTAGGCTTTAGTGTCATGGGGACTTAGTAAGTAGGTTAATACTTAGGATAACTAAGGTTACCCTATGAATTACTGGGGTTATTAGCCTACTTACTAACCCCTGACCCTCCAAGTAGCACGTATTGTATCGCTTCATGCACTTCCTCCGTGCTGAGTTGAAGGGATGTTGTCCTCGCAAAGTAAGACTTGGGCAGTAGTGATTGTAGCACAATTCTTGGGAAGTGTGTGCTTACTGCGCGCTTGGACCTTCAGAAACAGAGGACAGCAACTGTGAAGGCTAAAGACCAAAAAGGTTTGTGGGGCACTTCCCTAAACCCTAAACCCTAACCCCTAAACCCTAAAAAGGTTTGTGGCGTGGCAGAGCGCCAGGCTCCAGACATGCCCACAGAATCATGACCTAGAAGTGCCTGACCCACATTGAAAATCCAACTCGCACCTAATAAAGTCCTTCATCATTTGCCTATCTATATATATATATAAATAACCCTATCTACCCCTTTGAAGGGCCTAGGGTTTCCATTTTCTTTTCCATTAGTTTAGACGCTTTAGCCCTCGTTTCAAGAAGTGAAGGAGAAACGTGCAGACTATCCCATGCGAACATGGATCCCCTCGTATTACCCCTTTCACAGGATAGTTGCATAGGTTTTGGGGCCCAGGATTGTTTGGGATGGAACCCTAAATCGTAAATTCCTAAACCCTAAATCCCCCTAAGGGTCCAAGGACCCAAATAATAGGGTTTTAGGGCCCAAATACCATAGATATTATAGTATTTGGGCCCTAACACCCTATTATTTGGGTCCTTGGACCCTTAGGGTCCCTTAACCCTAACTCCCTAGCCCCGAAGTCGCTTAACACTAATTTCCTAAACTCGTAAACCCTAAACAGTACACCCTAAATCCCTAAACCCTAAACCCTGCGCTCTTGACGGAAAAGATCTGCAGGAAGCCCGGAGAACCCTGCGTACGTGCGGATGAAGTTCCA